GGCGGCGCAGGAAGGCGACGATGGCGTTGAAGCCGCTCGCGTTGACGGCCGTGACGGTCCAGGTCGTGTAGGTCTTGGCCGCGCGGCCGGGCGTCGGGTCCGGCGAGTCCGCGCTGCCCCACGCGAGCTTGCGACGAGCTGGGCTAAGCCCCGCGTAACTTAGAGGCTCCGTTAGACGTCCCCTCCACGAGTGGCAGCGGCCCCGTGGCGCCCCCGCTCGCACCGCCGTTCGCCCCCGTGCCGGACCGTCGGCGGCGCGCGCTGGCACCTGGAGGCGCCCCTCGCCATGACCCTCGATGGATTCCACCGCCCCCGGCTCGTCGCAGACCCCAGGATCGCTTCGCGCCCCCGCCGCAAAGTCTCGCGCTCCGGCCGCGTCGCGGTCCGCGGACCGTTTCGCCAGAGGTCGGCACATCGTCAACCCAACGCCATCCCGCGCCCTTCGGCGCGAACCCCGAGCGATCGCGCCGCTCCCGCCCGCCCAACAGCAGAGGGAACACTCCCCGGCGCCGCCGTACGGTCTCGGCCGTCGTCGCGGCGCCGCGCGCGCGCGCGCGCGCGGGAACATGTCGTCGTGCCCGGCGCGTCGCCGCAGCGACTTGGCCACAAAACTGGGGCGTCCGGCGAGCCGCTCGGCGGCCTCGGCGGGGCCCCGGAAGGCGCTGCATTCGTCGATCGCGCAAATGCGGCCGATTTCGCCGACGCCGCAACGCGCGCGTGCGGCGTCCTTTCGCGCCGCCTCTTCGCGGAGCGCGAGGCGAAGGGTATGAGAGCGTCGCGGCGCAAGCGCCGGGCCGCGAGGCGCGCGCGTCGCGGCGCGCGGGCCACTCGACAAATCTGTCGCATTGCCAAGGGCAATAGTGCACCAACCTCGGCACGCGTAGTAGCGATCGGTCGCCACTCTAGCGAGCTCAAAACACCGCGACATGTCAGACCGCGGCGTCCAGTTGGGGGCGCGGCGAACGACGCTATCGACCCACGGATGCGCCTCGTCGCCCCGAAGGGTCGTCGACGCGACGAGGCGTGCGTGACGCGAGGGAGCGGCGCTCGGAGAGCGACCATTTGTGGAGAGCGCGATTCACGAGCGACCCCGTGCGCGCCCGCCCCGACCACCCCCCTCCCCCCCGCGCGTTTAGGCCCGGCTCCGCGATGCCCGAGAAGGCCGGCGCCCCCGGCTACGGCAAGGTGCCCCCGCGCATCGCCGCGATCAACGACCGCAAGGCCGTCGGCGGCAAGATCTCGTCGCGGTCGCAGAACATGCTCGACATCCACTTCCTCATCCAGCGCGAGTACACCTACAAGGACGAGGCCGCCAAGCGCCAGGCGAAGCGCGACGCCAAGGCCTAGGGGGCTCGCGCCGCGCCGCGCGCGCCGCGATCGCTAGACCGCGGTCGCAAGAGCGTCACCTTACGAGATCGAGGAGCGGCGGCGGCGGCGGCGGCTTGCGCCGCGGGGGCCGCCGCGCGGGGGGCGCCGGGGGCGCGTCCGCGAGCGCGAGCGATACGGCCGGCTCGGGCGCGGCGACGACGACCGCGCCGGCCGGCTCGGGCGCGGCGACGTCGGCGGCCGCCTCGGCGCCGGGGCCGACGGCCGCCTCGGCGCCGAGGCCGACGGCCGGCTCGCCGTAGAGCGCGACCCGCGTCTCGCGCGCGTCCGCCGCGGCCTCGCGGCGCCAGTCGTCGCGGCCCGGCGCGGCCGCGGCGGGGCCCGACGCCGCGCGCGCGCGCGAGGGGGGCGACCGCTCGTCGGCGGGCGGCCGGCGGTCCGCCGCGAGCGCGGGCGCGAAGGTGCACTCGGCCGCGAGCGCGAGGTCCCGCCGCGCGCGCTCGCCGTCGACCTGGGAGGACAAGGGTGCGACATTCCCAGCTTTGGAGGCTCCTCTCTCGGCCGTTTTCCGCTCGTTTCGGCTCATTTGGGGACGGGCGATGATCTCTCGGAGCGGTCTCGAAGCGTGGATCTCTGGAACGATCGCGCGCGGCGCACTCACGTTGAAGCGAACTTTGAATCACCCGCGTCCCGCCCCGGTCGTCGACGCGGGCGTCGCGGTCGCTCCGCCAGTCCGCGGCGCGGTCCGCCTGCGTGGAACTCAAATGTTCAACCAGACGTCAATGTGCGCGTAGGCGACCGTTTCGACGCACGTCTTTCGGCCGTGCTTCGAGAACTCGAGGAGAGCCATCGATTCGTCCAAAAATCAGCCGAATCGACGTCGATGTGACCGAGATAGAGCGTTCTGAAGTTTGGTCGGGACCCCCCACACCAGTGGTTGATTTCCACACGGCGGTCCGCGATGGGCCGCCGCGGCGACGCCCGGTTCGGCGCGGCCCTGGCCTTGGGCGAGGCGCGGAGCTCCGCGGCCTCGCGCGCGCGCTCCGCGGCGCGCGCCGCGGCGAGCTTGTCGTCCCGGCGCCTCTGCCACTCCGCCGCGCGCCGCGCGAGGCCGTCGGGCCGCACCGTCCTCGCCGCCGGCGCCGGCGCCGGCGCGGCGGCGGTCGCTTGGCGCGCCCGGCGCGCCTCGGCGCGCGCCGCGAGCGCGGCCGTGC